TAGTTTTGATGCAAAAACGCATGATCGCACCGGCTCGCCTGGTGCGTTCCAGCCTTTGTTGCATTTTATGCAAGTGCAAAAACTTATAATGCCGAGAGCAGCTTTGTGTGCGTATTGTGTGTTCAGAAACGAATGAACTCTATTACCCACTTTCAACTCAGCAACGAGGGTAGCCATTATGGAGCACTACCGTTGCAGCTGACACCCTTTTCTCCCACATGCAAGAAACGAACGGAAAACAGGCACATGGGTTACACGTGTTAAACTGTAGAGCAACAACCATTTAAAATGCTAACGGTCTGACTATGTAAAGTTTATCGTAAAAACGCATGATCCCATGGGTAAGCCTAGTTCATTGCTGCCTGAGTTTTATTAAACTTTGGCCTGCGAGCTTAAGTATGTAAATCAGGCCTACGTGTCGCCAAAGGTTGTCCATGCCTGTTCTAAAGCAACAAAATCATGAAAAACTTAAGTGACTGCATGGTAACCTTGAAGCGCATCACCAATTATTTGTTTTTATTGAATGTTGATTTTAGGCCTATCTGATTATGCTGTAGCTGTGGAGGGTGTCTCTTGCACGTCAACAATAATCACTGATCTCAAACCCATGCCCTATTCATTTCGTGTGTATGCATTCAACGAATATTTCAAAGGGAAAATGTCGCAGGAAGTGGGCGTTGATTTGAAGCTGTCTGCTTTGAATACCGAGCCTTTATCCATCCAAAGTTTCGACGCTGAGGTTTTCTTTTCTTCGAGTGGTTTAGAGTGCGTGTTATCATACTGTCATGGTTCAAGTCTGACTGTTGCTAAAATGTGGCTTAGTTATGTTCAGCGATGCTAAACCATACTCCTCTAAAATTTCTTCTGACCCCATTTACTACTCAAATTCTTCACAAATCCTCAATCACCTTGCCATGGGTCCAACACTAATTCTTCCTTCATAAAATGCAACTTGTGAAGTGCGACCGGCGTTAGATTTGGCGCTGTCAGTTACATGAGGAACTGTGTACTTTAGTAGCTTCTAAGGATGGCAAGAATAAAATCGGTATATTGTTTCACTTCCGTAATAGCTTCGGTGTGAATTCTAACTCCTCACTACTCTACGATTCATTTTTCTAGTAAATATTTCTTTTGGACCTTCGAGCCTTCTATGCACAGAAACTTTAAAATAATTGGCTGCCTGTGCGAAGAGGCGTTTTTTGCATAGCTCCCCGCAGATTTTTGTCGTTAACGGCACTGGTTTTTCCGGCAGGTAAAAGGATTTCAGACTGACCGTTAGAACTGTTCGGAAACATTCCTTTCAAACTCAAGTCTTCTAGCTTCTCAGATTCCCGAGTTAGCGACTTACCAGAAAAAAATTTTGGCGGCCCTGTATGTGGGTATCACGCTTACCCGGGGGCTGGGTTTGAGCTCATTAATGCTCACTTGGACGGAGAACATCTCCTTAAGATTTCAGCCTTCTAGCTTCTCAGATTCCCGAGTTAGCGACATACCTGTAAAAAGGTTTGGCGGCTCGTACGTGGGCACCACGCGGGTAAGAGCCCCCATTTGGGGTGGGGGCCCGTACTTACATGTAGATTAAGTTCCCAAAATTTCAACCCCATAGCTTTTGTAGGTCACGAGATGAAAAATCGGTACAGACGAACACACAGACACACACACAGGCACACAGATACACAGACATACACACAGACAACCCTCAATATGCGTTTTCTGCATTGCATAGCTGCAAAAAACGCATAAAAAGTAAATTTAATATACGGAGGGCCTGGGCGGCTCAGAGGGCATCAGAGGATACAGCTGTAACTGTGCTACACCAGCCCAGCTGATGGTAGCACGGGTAGAATAACATTTTCCTTTTCATTCTTTTAAATCAAATCACCGTTGCACAGTTGATGTTGCTTACTGAACATTGACACACAGTCAATAGATTTAAAGTTTATGAGACCTCCATTTTGGTCATTAAACCATAAGAAATAATAAAATGCAGTAACGGGGTCATCCAAGTAGTGAAAACAAAGGGAAATTAGATTATTGGAAGGAGGATTGGGGCTTTAGGGCTAGGGCCCACAGGTGATAGGCGAGGAGAGTGAGGACAAACGTTTTTCGATAGTCATAGATTTCTAATCCCCCACTCTAACTAAGGCTGTAAAAATTCAAATTCTTTAACTTGGAATTTGAATTTTTACAGCTTTGGTTAGAGTA